TGTATGGTTATGTCATCTTTTATAATGAATAAACAATGAAAATATAAAACTAACATCATTCACTTCCACTGTATAGAAACAATATCTAATTTTGCATTTCATGTGGTAAGCACGACATGAGTAAGTGATGACAAAATGTTCATTTTTGAGGTGAACTATTTATTTTTTGTGGAATATGGCCATGTTATAATGTGATTCTATTTTAGTGAGCCTATTTTGAGATAGGCTTCTTAATTAAATGTAAATATTAAGCATGCTTAAAGGGATAGTTAACCCAAAATGAACATTCTTTCATCATTTACTCACTCTCATGCCATTCCAGATCCATTCCAGATATTCTTTCTTTCTGTGGAAGATAAATGAAAAAAATTAGAGAAATGTTTATTTATTAAATTTTTTTTTTAACAATGGAAGTCAAATGGTTTAGCTACCAACACTTTTCAAAATAGCATATTTTGTGTTCCACAGAATAAAGTAAGTCATACAGTTTTGGAATGACATGAGAACAAGTAAATGACGACAGAATTTTGTCATCATTTACTTGTAGCAGGTGAGAGCTCCATGAGTTCAGCTGAGTGTGTCAGTTAAGGGAGACATACAAAATGTGCAGAGTGGTGGGTCCCCAGGACCAGGATTGAAAACCATTTATCTAGATTACATGTGTGAAAAAATTCTCAGATTTCAAAATTCTGAAGTCTTTCAAGAACTGACAGTTCAATTGTAATTTTTTGTTTCAGTTTGCACTTTTTGCGCAATTGTGCATGTCTGTGCTGAGCGAGACGAATCACGTGAATGTAACCCTCCACATCAGCAGCACTCATCTGACACATTCTCTTCTTCTTCCCTTTTCCACTCAACATCAAATTCCGACAGGCTTTCATTTTTTCTCATAACCTCATCATTTATTTTTTCTCCCTTTACAAAAAGGACTGTGATGGTACTGCAGTAAAGTGATGGTATCAGATGATAATACCATAGATCAATTTTAATTTGTCTGTGAGTGTCTTTTGAACTCCATATATTGCTCATGATGTTTTATGCCACTTCATGCGCTATTGCTGTCTGTGGTAAATGTAGCTCTGTGTTCACGTGTTTGTGAAATGTTAACCTGCTACCTGCTACCCACTTCCTGCTGCCAATTCTTTCACTGCTCACACACTCTTTTAAAGTGTTACCTACTTTCCCAACTAACATTCAGTGAATGCAGAAATACAACTAAACTTTGAATTCAAGAGCTAATTAAACCCAAAAATGTAAATTCTGTCATCATTTACAAACCCTTGTGTCATTTCAAACACTTTCTTTTTTCTCCGTAGAATGCAATAGGAGAAATGTTGAGAATGTTCAAAGGTTTGGGGTCTGTGAGGTCTCTTATGCTCACCAAGGCCGCATTTAAAAAAAGAAATACAGTAAATTGTAATATTGTGAAATATTATAGCAATTTCAAATAATTATTTTCGCTATTAATGTATTTTAAAATGTAATTTATTCCTATGAAAGCTGAATTTTCAGCAGCCATTACTGCAGTCTTCAGTGTCACCCAGAAATCATTCTAATATGCTGTTTGGTGCTAAAAAATTCTGATTATTATCAATGTTAAAAACAGTTGTGCTGCTTAATATTTTTGTTGAAACCATGACACATTTTTAAAGATCCTTTTATGAAAAGAAAGTTCAGAAGAACAGAATTTATGATAAATTTAATACGTCCTTCCTTCAAAAAAAAAAACCAAACTTTTGAACAGTACCGTATATTCTTCAACTTTTCTCCTTCTGTGTTCCACGGAATGGTAGGTAAATTATTCTGGGTGAACTATCCTTTTAAGTTTCATAGCTCAAATTTTGTTCTTGAAGACTTGAGGTACACAAATCTCCACAGATAAACTACAAAAGCAACTCCCAAATATACACACACATCCACATGCATCAACTCACATATGCAGGCTGCAGCCAGCAGACGATTGGCCACGTAGGGTGCTATACACGTGGGGAAGATGGGCTGCACCATGTAGTTGGAGAAGGTGATGGCTATCACAGCCTGACTGGTGGGCTCAATGATCAGAAGAGAAGTCCATAGACGGATGAAAGCCAAAAAGCCTCCAAAAGCCTCCAGGATGTAGGCGTAGCTAGCACCCGACTTGGTGATGGTGGTCCCGAGCTCAGCATAACAGAGTGCCCCGAACACCGAGAAGATCCCACCAATTGTCCACACTAACAAAGACAACCCATAGGAGCCGCTATACATCAGTACGCCTTTGGGTGAGACGAAGATCCCAGAGCCAATCATGTTTCCCACGATGAGACACACACCATTGAGCAAAGATATTTCTTTTTTCAGTTTCATGGACTCCTGTGAGCCATTTGCCTTCAGGTTTACGTCCGACACCTCTGAGGACCGCTCCTCCGTGGATGCAGGGCTGTAGGACGCCATTGTTTTAAAGGGCCGATGGGTTGGATGATACAAAAAAAAGACTGTCTAAACCAGTTCTACAGTCAGCTACAAGAGTTTTAAGAAGGTCTGAAAGGTTCCCAGCTAATTCTTGAGATCTTCAGGTGACATCTGGGGAATATAGAAGAAGAGTGTTCAGTATATACACACACACACACACACACATGCACGCACATATAATAATCTCCAAAGAAACAGGGCAATCAGAAAGAGCTCACATACACACTCTTGCTTCTCAATTGTACATATGGCTATTACGGATCCATTAGACATCATGGCAAATGGCTTTTTACAGGTGTGTAAACAAAGCTGCACAGAGAAAAAGGTCTACATGTAAGAAAAGCATCCAGCTTGCTCATATTCCTTACTGCGTGAGACAGGATTGTGTGTCTTAGCCAACGGCTTAATCAATCACCATCCCTGACGTGGACATTGATCCACCTGATCTCTAGTCAACCAAGACCAAGTATAGGGATTTTTAATACGTCAAGTCCAATTCAACTCTCATTTTATCTCTCGCTCTCTCTCACTTTTAGCATGATGCGCCAGCATGCTGATCTGTCACATGCTCCTTAAGGTTCAGTGGACTCAAAAGAGCTATGCTCAAGAGCACAGGCTGGGAAACGTCTTCACATGACGGTATGAAAATTATGCACATACAGGGACATGTCTAGTTAATTGACAGCTTGTATATTTGAAGCTCAAAGTTGGGAGCCATTGATGCTGACTATGCCAAACTATACACTGACTAGGCATAATTTTGGCACATGGATGGTGGTCCCGAGCTCAGCATAACAGAGTGCCCCGAACACCGAGAAGATCCCACCAATTGTCCACACTAACAAAGACAACCCATAGGAGCCGCTATACATCAGTACGCCTTTGGGTGAGACGAAGATCCCAGAGCCAATCATGTTTCCCACGATGAGACACACACCATTGAGCAAAGATATTTCTTTTTTCAGTTTCATGGACTCCTGTGAGCCATTTGCCTTCAGGTTTACGTCCGACACCTCTGAGGACCGCTCCTCCGTGGATGCAGGGCTGTAGGACGCCATTGTTTTAAAGGGCCGATGGGTTGGATGATACAAAAAAAAGACTGTATAAACCAGTTCTACAGTCAGCTACAAGAGTTTTAAGAAGGTCTGAAAGGTTCCCAGCTAATTCTTGAGATCTTCAGGTGACATCTGGGGAATATAGAAGAGTGTTCAGTATATACACACACACACACACACACATGCACGCACATATAATAATCTCCAAAGAAACAGGGCAATCAGAAAGAGCTCACATACACACTCTTGCTTCTCAATTGTACATATGGCTATTACGGATCCATTAGACATCATGGCAAATGGCTTTTTACAGGTGTGTAAACAAAGCTGCACAGAGAAAAAGGTCTACATGTAAGAAAAGCATCCAGCTTGCTCATATTCCTTACTGCGTGAGACAGGATTGTGTGTCTTAGCCAACGGCTTAATCAATCACCATCCCTGACGTGGACATTGATCCACCTGATCTCTAGTCAACCAAGACCAAGTATAGGGATTTTTAATACGTCAAGTCCAATTCAACTCTCATTTTATCTCTCGCTCTCTCTCACTTTTAGCATGATGCGCCAGCATGCTGATCTGTCACATGCTCCTTAAGGTTCAGTGGACTCAAAAGAGCTATGCTCAAGAGCACAGGCTGGGAAACGTCTTCACATGACGGTATGAAAATTATGCACATACAGGGACATGTCTAGTTAATTGACAGCTTGTATATTTGAAGCTCAAAGTTGGGAGCCATTGATGCTGACTATGCCAAACTATACACTGACTAGGCATAATTTTGGCACATGTTAACTAATAAGACTTAATGACATCCTGAAATCTGAATGGAAAGTGAATGGGAATTTTGCACTGGATGCGGCTACATCTAACATTATACATTAGGGCAGTAGGATTCTGGGTCACCTGATTGTTTAAATTCAAAATTTTAAAAAGGTCGTTTACATTTTAGAATTCATACTTAGAATTTAAAATTGTTGCACATAATTTTAGACCTGTGGGCCCTTAGAATCATTCCCACCTTTCACACACTAACTCCAGCAGTCTATAGATCTGATTAAAAGCCCTGTGTAATGGTTGGGAAGGCCTTTCAGGAAAGACAAAAAGAGATAGAGAGGATGATTAAAGAACTGAGATGAGTGGGTGGACAGTAGGCAATTACTGCACGTGATAATTAAACAGCCACACTAATGCAAGATCTTTAGGTACCGGAGAGCAAGGTTCAGGACATGCTGATAAGCGCTCTGAAAAAACAACTATAAAACAAAATCACTCAAGGTTACAGCCTAAGCCACCATAGCCTTGCTGCGAAGCAGAATATTAAGTGAACATTATTTTTTATCAGTGCATTATATAAACTAACTGTAACTAACCAATTGGACTAAAGGGTTATATCGATAATAAATTCGTGATAATTATGTACAGTAAGCTAAAGTCTTGTCCATATAAAACCTGGAAATATGCATTTTTACAATGAGGTCTGTGTAATTGAAAG